GGACTGGCAAGATGGAGAGAGAGAGATGGCCAGAGAGGAGATGGCCCAGCGGTTAAAAGCACTGGCTGCTCTTTCAGATGACCTGGGTTCAATTCCCAGCACCCACATGGCAGCTCACAACTGTCTGTAACTCAAGTTCCAGTGGATCCAATTCCCTCAAACACCAATGCATATAAAAAGAAAAAAAAAATTTAAAAAGAGACAGACAAGCTCGGTTGGCCAGTAAAGACGGCAAAATGCAGTCCGCCAACACCTGTGCAGCACAAATCCTACAACAGTTTCCTCCAGAGAAGACAAAAGTAGGTTTTCAACACGAAATCTCCCTACTTCTAGACATTTCTGTGTAAGTTGGGAAGGCCTTATTTTACTCAAACAAACACCAGTGTGCAACCTGTGTCAAAGCTAAGAAGGAAACATGGTGACTGTCTCCCCACATATGGGATTCTTCTCTGTAGTCCATAATGGTGATGCTAAGAAACAAAAAGTCACAGCTGGATCTAAGGAAATGCCTTCTGGACCGAGTCTCCGAGCTGGGATGGCGACTTCACGGTAAGGTTTCAGAAGGGGACAGGTCAGTAAATACTGCGGACCAGTTTAAGAACCTGACCACTTGCTGGGTCCAGATTCATTCGGGTCTTCTCCCTAGACTCCCCTTTCCCCCGGCCCCCACACAGCAATCTGGTAACAGCCTCTTATCTATCAGCGACTTGGTCTTTAGATTTATTTATCTCATTTTTTTATGTGTATGAGTGTTTGGCCTGAAAGTATGGAGGTGTACCACATACATGCCCGGTGCTTACGGAGGTCAGAAGGGAGCATCAGATCCCCTGAAACTGGAGTTACAGATGGTTGGAAGTCAGCATGTGGGTGCTGAGATCCAAACCCAGGTCTGCTGCAAAGGCAATACATACACGCCTATCTGAGTCATTTCTCCAGCCTCTCAGTGACTTTAAAAAATAAATTCTTAAGCTGATGGTGGGGGGGGGGGGTAAGGGTGGGAATGTGGGCAGCAGCGCACACACGCCTTTTTAACTCCAGCACTCAGGAGGAGGAGGCAGGTGGATCACTCAGTTCAGGGCCAGCCTGGTTTACAGAGTGAGTTCCAGGACAGCCAGAGCTAAGAATAAATTCTTTTTTTTTTTTTTAATGATTTTCACTTATTTCTATTTTATGTGCATTGGTGTTCTGCCTACATGTGTATCTGTGTGACAGTCTCGGATGCCCTGGAGCTGGAATTACAGACCCTGCCATGTGGGTGACGTGAACTGAACCCGGGTCCTTTGGAAGAGCAGCCAGGACTCTTAACAGCTGAGCCATCTTCTCCATCCCCTAAAGAATAAATTCTATGGAAGAAGGAGGGAAAAAAAAAAACAAAAATACAAAGATGGCAAAGAACTTATAAAGTTAAAAAAAACACTATTATAATCCATCATTACATTGTGTTTATATTTTAGATTTATTTTTAGACATGTATTATTTGTTTGTATGTATATGTGTGCTTGTATATGTGCCCAAGGAGGTCAGAAGGGTATTGGTTCCCTGTACCTGGAGATCCAGGCAGTTGTGAACTGCCTGATGCAGGCGCTAAAATCAAACTTCAGGTCTTCTACAAGAACAGCATGCACTCTTTTTTTTTTTTTTAAATATTTATTTATTTATTTAATGTATACAATATTCTGTCTGTATGTATGCCTGCAGGCCAGAAGAGGGCACCAGACCTCTTTACAGATGGTTGTGAGCCACCATGTGGTTGCTGGGAATTGAACTCAGGACCTTTGGAAGAGCAGGCTATGCTCTTAACCACTGAGCCATCTCTCCAGCCCCCCAGCATGCACTCTTAAACACAGGCCATTTCTCCAGCCCCATGGGTTTACATATTTTAACCGTCTTGTTACATATGCTGAGGGCTTAATAGTCCCAACCTATTTCTGTTCTGTATTCCTCCCTTGGGATATGAAATATTTTCACTGAAAAAGAAAATATTTAAAAGGAGTTGAAAGCACTTCCGATGATGCCATGGGAGAGGACAGGATAACAGGGTAAAGTGTCCACAAGGCGACCGTCTGGATGTTAATCATTAACATCGTGACCAATCTCAAAGGTATTAGGCCCAGCTAAACGGAAGAATATACAAAAGTAAGAGTGAGCTAATGAGAGGCGATACTTAGGGCAGGCACCGGAGCTAGCCCGCCTGCTCTTCCCCGCTATACTGCGAGCACAGCTTTGCTCACTGGCCGATGGATACAGGCAGGTTTTAATCACTGGATGCATTGGATTCTGCTCTATATTATGAAGGTGCTGCTCTTGCTCCTCAATAGACTCTACCGTCCTCCTTTCTAAGGCTCCATCCCTGGGACTTTAAGGGGTCATCTGGATGCCTCTCAGCAATACTCTACACCGCTTATTATGGCCTATGTAGAGGAGCCGCGATACTAAATGAGTCTCTCTGTCCGTCTGTACTTCAAGGTTATAGGGTTTGTGTGTTTTCTAGATCCTGCTTCTCTTACACCTATTTATAGAAATAAAGACTGCAAACATGCAAGGAGCAGGTGACTGGTTCAGGCAGGAGAGGGCCATGCTACAGATGACAAGACCTCTGTCCTAAGTTCTCAGTTTCATCTGCCCACAATTTGCTACTTCCAGAACCTATAACATACCAGCTACCTTGTTATTACAGATTTTTAAAGGAAACAGATACCAACAGTAAACAAAAGTAAATAAAATATTTGATGGTTTGCTTATTGGCTTTTTTGTTTTGTTTTGTTTTTTGACATAGGTCTCATGTAGTCCAGGTTACACAGCTTACACAGCTAAGGATGACCTCAGGCTCCTGATGCTCCTGACCACCTAGCAAATGTTGTTTCAGGTGTGTGTTGCCACAGCTTGCCTGGAAAGAAACAGCTCACCCAAAACTTTCTCAATTAAACTTAGCTCTCCAGCAAAGACTAGCAGGCCACTTTAGACGTTTTAATTAAAGGACCTTGGTTCTTAGTCCTTGTTCCACCCTAAACCATATACAAAGACAGTTTCTGCCCACCCAGGGCTACATCTGGTGAGATGCTCTTCTGCCTGATATCTGACTCTACTTCCAACAATCCCATTAACCCCACTCCAGAGTCACCACCAGAGCCAGGGCTGTAGCTGGATGGTGTGCTGGCCACTATTGCATGTGGGAAGCCCTGGGTTCTAGAGGTAAAAAGCAAACAGACTTAGTTATTTCTCAGGTGGACAGCAACCACTTTGCTCCTAACTCCTGTACCACCTTTTACTGACTTTCCCTTGACCGCTAGGCTAGAGCTCACCACGTATACCAGGTTGGTCTGGGACTCATGGCCAGCCTCCTGCCTCAGCCTCCCTAGTGTTGGGATTAGAGGTGAAAACTATCACACCCTGCTCTTGCGCCTTTACGCAGCACAGCCTTTCCAGCCAGCACACTGTCTTCCCAAAGTTTCTAGTATATTCTGGACCTCCCCCTCACCTAGAACCTGTCTTTGTCTCCTACCTGGTCACTGAGTCTTTTCACTCGCAGGCAAAAGCTCTCAGACCTAGTCACTAAGGGATTCCAACACACACCAAATATTTAATAATGGTTTTTCTTATAGAAAAATGAGGGGTGAGAGAATGAAGACACCCACACCACAAACTTTTTGTTAGTTCTACTCCTCACCTCTGGTGACCTAACCCATGTCTCAAGAATTCTGAAGACGCAAGGTCTGGGTGCCATGGCCCCAGCCTGCAATCCCAACACTACAGATGCAGAAGCAACAGGCTCACTGAGAACTCCGAGCCAGCTTGGGCTACAGTGTCACCCGGTCTCTAATGACTAAACAAAACAAAAACTCACACAATTCTGAAGATCCACAATTGTAGGTCTCCACCAGAAAGCAATTCGACCAACTTCAACCCTCAGGCTCCCCACAGGCAAGGAGCAGGGAATTCTCACAGGAAAGGGTATACTTAACTCACCAAGTAAGAGTTTAACAAAGTGGCGTTTCTTTCATCACAAATGATTTAAAAGTCCTCTGCTGGAACAAGTTGTTGAGAAAAGCAAGTTTCACTCAAGGTTACCAATTCCCAAGGAGGAACCACCATCCCAGACTCTACAGAATTAAAGTCATTGGGCCAGAGGGGAAGACTAACTGTTGAGCAATAGACAGGAAACTCGTGGTTGGAACATTGGATAGATGGATAAATGGATGGATGGACGGACGGACAGATGGACGAACGGACAGGGATATAATGGGGATCTAGGAGACCAGCGCTGAAATGCCAGACTCTCCAACTGAAAGAACAAGACAAAGTGAAGAGAAACAAAGCTAAAGCCATCTCTTAAATCACATACTGCGTTTCCTCCTCCCCAAAAGAAGAGGACCTGATAAAGGCTTTTCGAATTTAAAGAGCAACAATCCAGGCTGGGAGGAGCTGGCACCCACCGAATTTCAATGGACTGAGGGCCATAGGTATATCAACAGGGGCTAAGCAGCTGGCTCGCTGTGGAGCCAGAGAAAGCACCTGGTGCTGCCCCGCTCATCCCCAAGGTTCTGATCTGGGGTTGTCGCCTACAGAGAGGTCACCCCCCATTCGGGGCGCATGGACCTGCATCCCTCGTCCTCTGCTGCGGCACACCCAGGCCCCAGACAGACACAGAGCACAGCAGCACCTGGACCCCTGGCAGGAAGTGGCCACCTGGAGAGAAAAGCCCGGCGGGCAGCAGCACGCAGCTGTGCAGGGAGAACCAGCCAGATGTGGAACTGAGCACCGGGAGGTGAGGGCTGCGTTTCCAAAGGAGATGGTTCTGCGGGCCGCTAGTGCCCGGCCCCAGCGGAGCGAGGCCCCCCGGCACGGGGCAGGCCTACTCGGCTACGCCGCCACAACAGATCCGGGCACAGCCACTGTCGCTCCCGCCCGCCACGGCCGCGCGCTCGAAGCTGCCGGGTCCTTCCCGCCAGCCCTCCTGCCCTGCCCGGGTCATCGGGCTCCCACGCCACCCGGACCCTTACCAGCTTCCAGTCAGAGACGAGCCATCGCCGTCTCCTGCCCAAAACTCCGCTTCCCACAAGCCGCTCTGGCTGCCGGCTGCGCGCCTCCCAGGCCGCGCCGAATCCTCCGCTCCCCCTGCCGGCCGGCGGCCATTTCCGACCGGCAAGGGCGGAACTTGCCGAAGACCAGGGACGGAAATAGCCGAACCTGCGTTTGCTTAGAAGAAAAGAAAGCAGAGGTGTTCGTGACTTTCCGGACGCGCCCGGAGGTGGGGGCAGAGGAGGTGGTGGGCTCTGCCCTCCGGGGTCCTAGGCGTAGGCCGATTGCGGGTGACTGTTAGTAGGGCCAGACTTGCGGGCTTGAGGAGGAGCCCACTAATTTGGGTAACTCCTCAGCCTAAAAATAAACCTATGTTCAGTTGAAGTGTCCGCGCTAGCAATGACCCACAGTTTTGAAACACTTTTAAATACTTAGCTGCAAATAAAGGGCAGGGCGGTTACTTAGGGTAAACAAAAACAAACAAAAAACCCTGGGCTTTGCAAAAACAACAGGTTAATCTCTTGAGAATTGAGGACTAAAAAGAATGCCTTTTAAATTCTTTAAAGCCAGCCCCAGTAATTTTGGGATTGGCAAGACTCCCTCAAATACCTAAAAGAAAAAGATGGAGGATGGAGGTAGGCCAATCCTAAAAGTGACATGGGGTCAACAGAGCTAATTTAGAAAATAGTTTTGACTCTTTTGTTGTTGTTGTTTTGTTTTGTTTTTGTTTTCGAGACAGGGCTTCTTTGTGTAGCCTTGGCTGCCCTGCAACTCAACTCTGTAGACCAGGCTGCCTCTCTGTAGACCCACCTGCCTCTGCCTCCCGAATGCTGGGATAAAGGCATGCACCACTGCCCAGCTTAAAATCATCTTTGAAAATTCACAATTGCAGCATAACCTAAAACCAGATTGCTTCAACATATTTATTTTAATCCCCCGGAACAAAGCTATTATTACACCAGGCCTTCCTCAGCAGAACCCAGACACACCCAGCGAGGTTGGCTCAAATCCGTCCCTGTGCTTGGGTGGTCTGTTCCTTTAAGGAGAACTGCACCTCAGCGATGCTGTCACAGCTGTTGACCCTTCCACCTGCCCTTCCTGGGACAGCCCACACCCACTGCTCAGAACAGGGAGGCTGAGAAAGCAGGATTCCACTCCCACAGTGGACAGTGTGAGCTCACTCTTCCCTTTGCAAAGCAACCTATTTTCTGGAGGACTTTCCTCATCCTCCTGACCTCTCCATGCGTCTCCAAAGTCGGGGTCAGCTCTTTCCCACCTGTTCTATTTTACTTTCTGTCACTAATAAAACACCACGACCAAAGCAACTTGGGGGGGGGGGGGGTTTATTAGCTTTACACATCCCAATAGTCATCTATCACTGAGAGGAGCCAAAGTAGAAACGCAAAAGCAGGGCTGGACCCTGCGAGCAGGAAACTGAAACAGAGGCCATGGAGGAATGCTGCTTACTGGCTTGTCCCCCATGGCTGGCTCAGTTTTCTTCTTATGCAACTAGAGATCAACCACTCAAGGGTGGCACTGCCCACAATGGGCTGGGTTCTCTCACATCAATCATTAATCCAGAAAATGCCCCCCTTGCCCACAGGCCAGTCTGATGGAGGAGTTTCTTCCTCCTTTCTTCCTTTCCCACCTCCCCCATTCTCCCTCTCTCTCCTCTCTCTCTCTACTTGGGGAAGGACATTTTTGAGAAAGGATCTCTCTCTACATAGCCCTAGCTCTTCTGTAACTCACTATGTAGACCAGGCTGACCTGAAACTCAGAGATCTGCCTCCTTCTGCTGGGATTAAAGGTGTGAACCACCGCATCCACACCTGAGGTTCTCAGAGGGCTCTAGCTTGTGTCAAGTTGGCAAAATAAATAAATAAAAATAAATAAATTTAAAAAAAAACATTAACACACCATTCTTTTTCCTTTCCCTGCTAAGGACACGTTACTCTCCTCTCTCCTACAGTTGAGACCAGGAGATAGAAATTGACTAGGCAATTGCACGGAGGGGAGTGACTAGCACCTTTCTTGACTAAAGGCTGGAAATGCCCTTGCAAATGCCCATAACTTTGTCCGTGCAGAGGCCAAAGAGGCCACAAGTGTCTAATCTAGTGTCTCTGGTTTTACCATGCATGGCCTGAGGCTGAAGATGCCAGGAAGTGTGTGTGTGTGGGGGGGGGGGTCTCTGTTTCTTTCTCCACCAAAAGAGTACCCCTTTCCTGGAAACCATATTGAGGCTGTGACCCAGACTTCAAGGACATTGAAACCTGGAATAAAAACTGGACTGACCAGCCCACTCCCTCCCTTCCTCGTCCACTAAAGCACCATTAACTCCCAAGCAGTGAAGCTCAATGGGATCCCACCCGTCCCTGGTACCCTGGTACCCTTCCTACTGCCCAGGAGCTCAGCCTTCTTTCCCTCCCTTCAGTCCCCTAGAATACACCCCCTACCTCACACTCCTCCCCCCCCCCAAAAAAAACTAACCCTCTCTGCTCCATGAATTTCATTCTTTGAATCTGAGAGACAAGAATTCAAATGCCTCTGGCTTGCAGGTGACTTTGATGGCCATTTTGTTTCCAGGACCCTAGCCCTCTTCCTGTCCCTTTCCCTAAGAAATGAATATACACGTCTCAAAGCCTTACTACCATGTTGACGTACCAAAATATAACTTTTTCCCATTTGTTGAGGAAAGTCAGGGAAGCAGGAGCAAACGCTATAAGCTGAAGAACTGAAAATGGGGGAAAGCTTGGTCCACTTAGCTTGAGTGTTCATTTTACAGTTGTCTACTTGGCTGTCTTCCAGAGAGATACATAGCAGCAGCAGGCAGCAAGAGCCCAGTATGCAAAGGGGCAGGATAGGCGACAAGGTAAGAGTTTCCAGAGGTTGGTTCATCTCCATATTGGCAAGACCTGACTTGCAGATAACAGCTGCCTGGAGCAGTCAGTCATCCTGCGGATTTGAATACGTAATACATGGCTGTTTCTAACTCTAATGTACTTGACTGTAACTGAACCCTAAGCGTTAGGGAGAGAAAAGATCCATCTGAAACTTATTGGACTCTAGGCTTGGCTGCCGCTCTCTGGCTGTCACCCAGCACCCTCATCCTCAGGAGCCAGTCGACCTGCCCTTGCCTGCTCCTCCTCCTCTCCCCTCCCCCACAACCCTCCTCCTGCCCTGGGTCCTGCTCCTTCTAAAAAGTGTGCCAAACCAGCTCTGTGACTTTGGCTTTTCCTAACACCTCCTTTTTTTGCCACTTTGAGCAGTTGCTGGAGTAGCAGTTCCACCGGGCAAGAGTTCCCTCGCTGCAGGACTCCCTCCTTGTTTTGCAGTGGCGCCCTAGATTCCTTCACAGCCGCAACATCCCGTGAATGCATATTTTATGAATACTTAATTGCCAGGCAGTAGGTTACATACACCCTTTCTGTGCCTGCTGTTTCTCCTCTCTCTTTTTTAAAAGTCTGGCTAGGAGATACCACCCTGTGGCAGGGGAAGTAAAACTTCAGAAAGTTCCAGGAAACAGGTGCCTAGGGTCACAGGGTGCAGGGCAGAGCCCAGGACTCCAAGTTGTCCAAACTCTGAACCCCATATTCCTGACCAGAACAATCTAGTTATTTCACCAGGATATTAAATTTATTATTTCCCACAGTGAATTCATCTCTATCCCTTCCTCCTTGCTCTCCCAGAATATCCTAATTTATAATGTCTTTACTTCTATCTTTTCTAAAACAGAAACCCCAAATTGAAGAAGCATAATCTTCAATGTCACCAAGACCTAAAGCCTTGTGTGGCAGTTTGAATGTAACTGGCCCCCATAATTTCTTAGGGAGTGGAGCTATTAGGAGGTGTGGCCTTGTTGGAGTGGGTATGACATTGTTGGAGGAAGTGTGTCACTGTGGGGTGGGCTTTGAGGTTTCCTATGCTCAGGATACCACCCAGTGTCTCAGTTGACTTCCTGTTGCCTGCAAGATGTAGGACTCTCAACTACTTCTCCAGCACCATGTCTGCCTGCATGCCACCATGCTCCCCACCATGATGATAATGGCCTGACCCTCTGAAACTATAAGCAAACCAGCCCAATTAAATGTTTTCCTTCTAAAAGTTGCCTTGGTCATGGTGTCTCTTCACAGCAATAGAAACCCTGACTAGGACACTGTAACCCAGGGTCTCCACCACCCACCTTTTAGAATTTTCATACCGCCCCTGGATCAAGTTCCCTTTACTCCTCCCATGAACTTAATGTCTCATTACCAAAATTCCTGGCTCAAAAATCTTTATCATAACCGCAGTGTTGTTGTTCTGGAAAGGAGCTGAAGTCACGATACACACAACAAAGCTAGCCTTCACTGGCCTCACCACAGATGGGACTTTACAACACTTGTCCCTATTTTACATTTTGGAATTTAATCACAAACAGGTTTACACTGTGATTTAGAAGCCACATAAAGAGATCCCTATTTACCCTAAAAATTAGGGTAGGAGATTAGGAATTATGGAAAAGAGGATCGATCCATTATGCCTCTTGTCCCCAACAGTGACCCAGGGTCTCCCAGCAGCATTCTGCCTCGAATAGTTCCGAATTTGAAATTTCCAGAAGACAAATGATTGATTGCTTCAATTTGGATCACATGTCTACCCCTAGATCAACTCAACTTAGCCTAAGTGACAGATTATCCCAAACCTGCCTATAAATAGAGCTTATGTCCAAAGGACAGAGGCAAATTGAATAGGTGAGCACCTAACCAAAGTTACACAGTGTGGACAACATGGCGGTGCCCTCACACCATGACAGTCACCTGAAGGAGAAGAGGCATCCAGATACAGTCAAACAGGAGTGTCACAGGAGAGTTCAACTACACAGGATGGAGATAATTCAACACATATTCCGTAAGCTCCTGGTGGGAAAAGTCAGCATCAACAAGTTCAACAGAAGCTCACTATTATCACTTTAAAGAATGGTGTTTACCTTTAATTCCAGAACTCGGGAGATGGGGGCAGGCAGACCTCTGAATTCAAGGCCAGAATGGTCTGCAGAGCAAGTTCCAGGACCACCAGAGCTACACAGAGAAACTGTTTCAAATACAACAAAACAGCAACAACAAAAAGGGGCTTGCGGGGCTGGGGAAGTAGCTCAATTGGTTGGTACACTGCTTGTATCTCAGATGGTAGAGTGCCTGCCTAGCACACACCGATTGTGCATGGTGGTGCCGGCCTGTAATCTCACAATGGAGAGGTGGAAGCAGGAGGATCTAAACCTAAAGGGCTTCCTCAGCTATAACAAAACTATCCAAGTAGCCAGCAGCAGCGGACCAGATTAAACATGGCGTAGTCACACAGACTATGAGTGAGT